TATAAGCAATATAAACTATACCTTTTAAATACTCAATATTACTCTTCTGCATTATGATTTATTCATTTAACTTGTTTATTTCGAATACTTTTGTTATTCGCATTTTACTTCCTTTATTGCATTGTTTCTATTAATTGATGTGTCTTGTCTTTTATTTTTGAACGTGTCAGTGACCAACATGCTAGCATATGTTTCTTTGGTCACTGAGCACATTTTGTTTTGGTTTTATTATTATTAATTTATTTTAATTAATGAATTTTTTGTAATAGTGTGCATAGTGAAATATGTCTGTAAATAGTGTCAATTAATAAAATCTGAAATCTGAATCATCTCCTGGTCATTTTGAACACCTGGACGGGTCAAATGCTCATGAAATTCAGTGCTCAAGTTGGCCATAGTACTAATTCAAACATTCGAAGTCAACTCCACTTCAATTTAGCAAAACACCTAACATCAACGGTCATGTAAAAGCATAGTTAATTGAGGGGACTGGTTATGAAGCCCCGCAAACATCAAAGGAACAAACAAAGATGCCAAGATTTATGTTGGAAGGTCCACGACAGTGCACAAACTTTTGTTTCATGCTCATACACTATGCAGGAATTATGTAACCAACACATTTCTATTGATTGGTTCCTCAGGGCAGAGTAAACAACTATTGTGTTTTGTGCACCCTCAAGGCCAAAAAAGTGAACAAAAACATACAACAAAGAACTTTGTCGAGTTTCATAACCATTCCCCTCTATTCACTTTGGTAAAAGCTACAAAATCATCAATTTGGGCTGGCACGATGCATCCTTTGAGTAGTAACCACGCAAACACGATAGCGAGGCTCACGCTGACTGCACAGTTACTATTCCAATATGGCATCGGGCTCGGTTACTATTCCAACATGGCGTCAGCCTCAGGCGCTCTTCTTCAGGCTGACTAATTATGAACAGTGTACACCTGAGTGAGTGAGTGAGTGAGTGAGTGATACATTTGCGTATCGGAGTCCCCGCAAGAAACACATTTCTACGCTTTGCATATCCAGGAGTTTAAAAATGTATGTATATTGAACAGGGCTGTTTGCCAAAGTATTTGCCAGGACTTATGTTTAAAATGTGAACTGAGTTGTTGGTAACACTGAGGACTTAAAAGACATACATAATGAATAGTGAAACAACTTTGTGATCAATATTGTGCAGCCCTAAATATATAGTTTTCTCCCACATGAAGGTTGTTGTTTTCCACCCCTCCTCCCTCAGCAATTTTCAGTTAAATATGATATATATTGCCTCTGAAAATGGAGTTTCTAGACATGTTGTTTCATTTGGTGGGTTACCTTGGACCTTATTGTGTATTTTCCTAATACATATACATTGACTATATTTATAATTTTTTTCTTTTACATGCAGCATTCCTCTCTATAACCACCACAACCTAAGGACAGAGCCAAAACACATAGTGTTTTTATCAAAACTCCTGCTGTTGTTCCAGTTCTGCTACATTTGTCGGTCAGAGATTAAACCTACCGTGATGGCAACACAGAGTGAAACCGAGTTTGTTATAAAAACAGCTTGTAACAATCTTAGCTGTGGAAAAGATTACACCTGGAACAGCCTGCCTCTTTTGCCAGGGACCAGGACTGCTGCTGGCAACTTTCTTCTATGTATGGCCACTCTCTTTACTGGAGGTTCCAGCATATGGGCTTGTTGTGTGTATTGTTGAATACATTCTTCACCCACCAACGGGTGAGTTCATTTTAATGTTCTGGTATTCTTTTAAAATAAGCACCAAAAGTACTTAATCTGCGAGCTGTGTGTGTGATGTTGTTACATGTACACACGAGCTCCTTTCTGGGTGGTGTTGAACCGGAGAGGGTCAAGGGGGGGGCCACGGGATTTCAATATTGTAACCATGCTGAATCCTGTAAAACATTTTTCCTATCGTGTATCATTCTGCAGACATATCTATTTCAAAACAACTAATGAGTTGATCAATGATACATCATAATTACTTCTGTAAAGCTGTATTAAATTTCATAATGAAGACTAAAGAAATACAAATTTCCCATTTTCCTAAGATAATCTCTGTCTTGAGCTTTTTACAGCATTTAATTTATCACAAATCTATTAGTTTTTTTTAATTGAACCTATTTTTCATGAATCCATGTTACAGAATAAGCTGTTCCCCACCATCCACCTATTCTGGAAGTAATAACAGGCAAATTTGCTGCCACAGCTGAAGGATCTTGGCATGATAACCATAGCAGGTGATGGGTGCCATGACAGCATGGGACACTGTGCTAAATATTGTGCTTACTCTGTTTTCTGCTGCATGTTACCTTGCATCATCCATTTTGCACTTGTTCAGGTATATTCAACAATTTAATTTTAATTTTTCAGATGTTTTCCACATTCCAGTGAATGTATTTTTTGAAAGACATGAGTAAACCGATTTTGAAACAGAAAAATATGGTGCAAAAAGTCTTTTCTGCATGTATGTGATAGTATGTATGTCATAGTTAAGTGTATTTTGAAACATTTGTCATAAGTTAATAAACAAACAAATTTATTTAGACCTTTGCTTACATTAATTTGCAGAGGAATCAGGCAGTAAGCAGTCCTGCAATGGAATTTCTGGGGTTCCAGACATGCATGAATTTTCTCACTGGATGTGGTGTGGTCATCGGGACATTTATATCTGACAGATATATTCAAATAGCATGTCATATGAAGAATGGAAAAAAGTATGAAAACTTTTTGTGTAGTACTCCCTTTTTAGTGACTGGTTATGCACAGTATTGTCGCCCTTTGAGAAATAGTTCTCTTATTAATTTTCTTTTTAACTGAAATGCTTAGAATAGTCTGTATGGTGCATCATGGGTACATAATCTGCGAGAGTTTTAATAAATGGTTTTGCTTTTACTTACTTAAAAATCTTGGCCAGTTGTGCAGCCTGGGCCACTAAGATTTATGATTTAAGATTTAACTAAGATTTATGAAAACTGGTCACTAATTAATAACTACTATTAATAATGGCTGTTGCTATTCAAAGATCAGAAAAGTCCTGTCCAAGATTGCTAAAGAAAAGGGAAATGAAGATCTCCAGCAATGGGTGAAGCTGCGTGAAAAGCACCTCTACTGGAGTGCAACTACCACCTCTAATGGTGACGGAAAAGTCATCTGGGCAAAGTTCAAGTCTTTTTTAAGTCACATTGTGAACAAACACTCTGGCCTTGATGACCCAAAATTCAATAAATGTGCTCATGGAGTGATTCCTGGTAGGAAATGGCTGGATCCAGGTACAGTATTTTTTTGGTAATATAGCTTATGCTATGCATTACAAGCCTGGAGCACCACCCTAATTAAAATATAGTTACCTTTTTGGTGCTATCCTATTTAAATATAATTGCCATCAGGTGACCCAGGGTTGTAATGTGAGGGAAGTGCTGTCAGATTAAAGAATACTATAGTTTATTTCTTGCTAATTGAAGTTCTAATGTGTTTTTAATATAAACTGGGTTGAAAGTTTAACAACTGACAGGAATATCACTTGCAACTACACCTGTAAATTAATGAACACTTAAAATAACAAGACTGAAACACAACTTCTGAATTCATTTCTTATCCTTTTATAACCAGACCATGCTGGATATGAGATAATGAAGAAGGCTCTGACTGCAGAAAGTCTAAAAAAGGGTATAATGCAAGCTTCTCCATTGGTGCAGACAGACTGCCTTGAAGGTTTTCATTCAGTGTTTAACTTGTTTGCCCCAAAGCTGATTGCTTATTCCTACATTGGAATGTACTGTAGGTATTTCCATTTTACTATTTTCATTTTTTTCGTACATTCCTCTTTACTTCTTCCAATATGTACTAGTTATATGTTCAATAATTATGAAAAAAGTATGTTATTTTTTGTTTTTTTTGTTTATTTCTTTGCAGGCATATTCAAGCAGCTCTGCACTTTAATTACAACCTGCACAGAGATGACAAAGTTAATGAAGATGACAGTGTCCCCTTAAAACTGAGCTACCCGAAGTTTAAAAACGGCAAAGCAACTGTTAGAAGTCAAAAAGTTGAACAAAACTTTGGTAAACAAATTACTTTTATTACACTATATTTTAATAAACCTACCCATATGGTTTTATGGCACTGAATGCATTCAGTTGCAAATTCTCTTGCTCTTTTTTTTTTAGTCAAAAAGTCAATTTTGACAACAAAATAATATTGATTGCAATAACACAAATTTCATCAAATTCATCCTACAGGTTTTGCATTTGAACACACTCCAACTGTGAGAATTGATTTTTGCAAGCATTTGACTTTTTTATATGCTCTTTCTTATAATTTCCAACTGTGGTAGATTGTAAACAGTTGACACAACCTTCAATAGAACAAACACTGGCAAAGACAAAGTGGGTAAGAATTCCATAGCAACCATTTTTTAGTAAGCTCTGCCCATTTACATATGGACTTTCTTGTAGACTAAGTTGAAGAACTTTTCCAGTTCTTTCTGGGACTCAGCAAAGAACAACTTCAAGGTGCAGTCCAAGACTTGAAAGAGATGACACCAGAGCCAATGAATTCCATGCTGGTGGATAAGCAGCAGAGAGGAGGCCATTAGGAAGAGAGCAGAGAGGCTGAGCACGGTAACAAGAGATGTACCTCCCACAGCAGATCCTGAAGAAGGACATTCAGCAGAACCAGGTAGAGCAAGTGTCATGCTTCACTTTCTAGTAAAGGCAATCTTACGACAAGTCTTCCAGAGTTAATTAAAAATGAACAATATACACACACAGATGATAACAATAGTTATTTGCTTCTTTAATCACAGTGGCAGATCAGTCAAGGGCAAAGCAGGGAGCAGTCTACAAGAGCTTGGTACAACCTTAGTCATGCCTTGCAAAACAAGTTAGCCTCTTTCCTGCATATAAATCTGCAAAAATAATTTGTATACTTTATGCTGTGTTGGTAGCATTGGAGTAGTACTGTAAAGAAGTTTTGCAACTGCATGCGGTAAGATTTCTGCACAGCTTCATACATTCCTTATGCATGCATACTAGTTCACATAAACAGTTAATACACGTATGAATATAGTTGAAACTTGTATGCATAACAAATGTATGGGGCTATGCGGAAATCTTATCCGCCACATTCGCAGTCTGGTCACTACCAACAAGAAAAACAATTTCATATCGGTGTAAAATAAAAGACAGGCCAAGAAGCTACATCCTATATTGCTCGGAAATCAGAAAAGTAAAGTGATTTGGTGGTCAGGTAGCAAAATGACCATAATTTTAAATATCTTTCAATCGACTGAATCTTCGACCTCAAACCCAGTGAGGGTCTTGTTGTCTTGAATTGGGAATGCCTTGTGTATTGCGGTATAGGCACATGCAGGGAGAGGGATCCTCCTCTTTCCCAGGTATCCGTACACCAGCCTCGGAAACTCTCTGTAAGCAACTGATTGGAGATATCTACACAACATGAAATAATTAGACAAATAAAAGAAGCATTATATGCAGCACATATAATGTTATTTTATATCGAGACATTTTCTTGGGTACTATAATACGTCTATCAGTTATTTGGGTGGAGCAAGGAAAGGCACATCACCTAGGAGACTCCAATCAGATACTAGTAGGCGGGATCGCGGTTACTATTTAGTTTGCTTGGCATGTCAGTTTCGGCCTCCTTACCATTCAGCAGCAACGCTATCTCCAGAGCTAATTTTCAAGTTTTAAGGCAACTACCCCTTCACCCTCTTTTGTTGTTTGTCGGGTTTTCCGGTTTCTTTTTTAATTTTCTAACGCAATGGGAAAACCTCGCATCTTAATTCTAGGCCACTCTTTTATTCGTCGCCTGCACGAGCATATTAATCGTCCGAACGAAAGCGCCTATACTGCCAAGTTCGGTATTTCAACACCAGAATTTCTGTGCAAATGGCACGGCGTGGGCGGTCGAACGATCGATAAAGTTTTAAAGTATGATTTAAGTATTGTGGAGGATTTTGGCCCTGATATAGTGCTCTTACAGCTAGGAACAAATGACCTGCCCAACTCCCCCGCCATTACAGTGGGTTCCTCACTGGAACATCTAGTGACTGTGCTACACGAAGAGTACAAGGTCGACCTGATATGCGTATGTCAAACGCTTCGCCGTTCCTCTTCCGATGTTGCGTTTAACTCTAAAGTTGGGCTATTGACAAAATATATGAAAACGGTACTTGAGCCCATCCCATACGCATTCTTCTGGTCTCACAGGGGGTTTTGGAAAACAAAGGGTACCTATTTGTTAGGAGATGGCGTTCACTTGAATGGTAGGGGGCAACATAAATTGTATCGCAGTTTACGAGGGGCAGTGCTCAAATGCTTGCGTTTACTTGATGTGGTTTAGCTACTTATTCATATCTGCGTGTCGCCGGTTCCAATTTTGTTTTCATGTTTCCTTGCTGTGTTGCGTCCGCAGCTATTTGACATTGTACTTTTATCTGCCGACAAATTTGAGCAATGCTCTTAATTCTACTGTCGGCTGTATGCTATGTCACTGTTATCTTAATGGGGTGCATGTTACTTATCTCGATTTTGATGGCAGTTGTATTTCCTGCCATTCATTAATTTTGCCCCCTTATCTGACGCAGAAAATAATTCTATCATGAGAGCAGGACGTTGCCATTTAAGTGTACAACCCTTTCCGGCCGCGTTCCGCGTGCCCAATTGCACTTGGTTACTGTCCTCGCCATTTTCTTTCTTGTATATTCGGAACCTGGCTTTGACTTGCTTATCGACTAGCTACAGTTTTAATTATGGGCCTATCACGTCTGCCCTTCGCGTCGCGCATCGGCATTTTAGTTCAGCCCTTCTCGTTTAACAAAGGTAGCTGCATGAACTCCTCTTTGTTCAATCACGAAGTCTAATTTTATTTAATTACACTCTCTGTAAAGCTATGTCTTCTCGTAAACGCCCATCTGCCAGCACCTCTCGCGGTCGACCCAAACGTGTTCGTGCCACTCCTTCGGTCTCGACAGCAACGGTGGTCCCACCTGCGACCGCTTCCACTGTAGATATGGCGGCCCTAACGGCAACCCTTACGGCCGCTGTGACCAGCGCCGTTCAAGCTGCAATGAAGACTCCACATTTGCCGACTGACGAGCCTCCTGCAAGTGAGGGTGCGAGCACCGCCATGACGGTCGAAGAGGCGGTCTCCGAGCAGTTGGCCCTTCTCACATCGCCAGACAAAGGTACTCATGAGCCCAGCTCCTCTGGCTCTTCTTCTCTAGACTATTCAGAGAAGCTAGTATTTTCCAGTATTGCCCTCGAGCTGGGAGGCAACGTTACTGATAAGGTCAAGGCTCGAGTCTGGGCTAACGAGTTTGTAGATTTCAGTCTTTTACTTTCAGTATCCCCTAGTCCTGATCGTTATTCTTTGTCAGTCAATACCTCCTCTCTCAGCTCGGGGGCTCATCTTACTCTCGAGCCTTGTAAGACTACGAAAAAGGTCACTACCATTAATCAATGGATATCGGCATTTCATACTTTCGTAGCGATTTACGTTGTTAGGTTTCCTAATGAGGCACCCAAACTGATGAAATACTGCGAAATCGTAAGAGACATTGCCGCTAAGTCTGGCGATTGGCTCTTTTACGACGAGCAATTTCGCCTCCTCCGGCAAACTGCTCCCAACAAGTATCCTTGGGACGCAGTGCATTGGGAACTATGGCTAAAGGTGACATTTCGTGGCCGACAAACCCCATCTAACGGCGACCGGCCCAACAATAGTCGACCCCGATCCAGTCAGTCGCCATTTCCGAAAGGTACCTGTTGGGCGTTTCAAGCCGGTCGCTTCTGCGGGGGTGGATGCAAATTTGACCATAAGTGCTTCAAATGCGGGGCAAAGCATCCTGCCACTCACTGTAACGCCGAGGGTCAAAAACGTGCTAGTCCACGGTCAACCTCCCATCCTCCCCCGCAGAACTCCACAGCAGATGACTCCCGTAAAGGCAGATCGGCTTGAGGGCCTTTTAAATGGCTATCCCTTCCCTTTAAAAGATTACTTACTTCGAGGCTTTAATTTTGGTTTTCGCGTACATTTCGAGGGCGAGAGGCGAGTTTTTGCACCTCCTAATTTAAAGAGCACCCTTGCCCAACCGGACATTGTTCGCAATAAACTAAACAAAGAAATTACCGCCGGCCGTATAGCGGGTCCTTTTCACAACCCTCCTTTCCCAGACATGTTTTGCTCACCTTTAGGTATAGTTCCCAAGAAAAATCCCTCAGAATTTAGACTAATTCATCATTTGTCGTTTCCCCGAGGTTTCTCTGTAAATGACTTTATCCCTAGCGAATTTTCTTCGGTGTCGTACGCAACAATCAACGACGCTATTTCCGCTCTGAAACGTACAGGCAAGGGCTGTTTCATGGCTAAAACCGACATAAAGTCGGCTTTTAGGATTATCCCAGTCCATCCTGACGATCACCCCTTGCTGGGTATGAAATGGGAGAACCTTTATTACTATGATCGCTGTCTCCCAATGGGTTGTTCTTCTTCATGTGCCATTTTTGAAGCTTTTAGCACCGCTCTCGAATGGATAGCCATTCATCGTCTGGGGGCCTCAAGCGTACTGCATATACTCGACGACTTTTTATTTATCGCGGAATCTGCCGAAAAATGTCAGTCAGATCTTAATAACTTCCTAGGAATGTGTAAATTCCTTGGCGTCCCTATCGCCGAGGAAAAAACCGTTGGGCCAAATACGGTGCTGCAGTTCGCGGGTATTACGCTAGACTCTGTTTTACAAGAGGCTAGGCTCCCAGAGGATAAGCTTCAGAAATGCCACACTTTGTTATCCATGTTTTATTCACGCCGGAAGGTTACACTTAAGGAGCTCCAATCACTCATCGGCCTCCTGAATTTTACGTGCTCAGTTATCTTACCAGGCCGAGCTTTTTTACCTCGTCTTATTGACCTCACGATAGGTCTACAGCGCCCATACCACCGTATCCGTTTAAACAAAGACGTTAAAGCCGACTTACAGGTTTGGATGCAATTTCTAGCGGGTTTCAATGGGCGTGCTTTCTTTTTAGATGACCTATGGGTTACCTCCACCTCGCTCGAGCTTTTCACTGACGCAGCCGGTTCAAAAGGCTATGGCGCAGTTTTCGGTCGAAAATGGTTTTATGGCTCGTGGCCTGAGTCATGGAGTTCCTTAAATATTACCTTCCTCGAATTTTTTCCCATCATCATTGCCTTGCATATTTGGGGGCCGACCATGGCTAATAAATGCATTTGTTTCGTGACCGATAATTCAGCGCTAGTTGAAGTTATCAACCGGCAAACTTCAAAGAATAAGCTCATTATGTTACTTGTCAGGGACTTAGTCCTTACTTCGCTGGAGTACAACATTCTATTTCGGGCGCGACATATAGCGGGTATACACAATTCTCGTGCTGATTTTTTATCCCGCTTGCAGGTGAAACAGTTCAAACAAATTTTTCCAGAGGCGGACGAAATGCCGACTCAAGTGCCAGACAGCCTTCTGCCGAAGAGCTGGTCGCTTCCCTGAATGATCTGCTTTCCTCGGCCCTGTCCATGGGATCACAAAAGTTGTATTCCCGAGCTTGGAAAGTTTTTCATGACTTTTACCACCAATTCGTGTGCCCTTATTCATTTCAACTTCCGATTCCTCCAAC